GACATGGAGGTAGTTCGAGTGCGATGGAGGAGGATGACTCGCTGTGGAGACCCTGAAGAGGAAAAAGCCAAAAGAAGAAGTTTGCGTGGAGTTGATGCCTGTCTCCAGTGGTCACTGGGTGAGAGGCAGCATACAAAGTCAGGACAAATGTCACCATTCCATTTCAGGAAACAACCTAGACAAAGATTCACCCCATCTCTAACACCAAGTGCCAGTTCAACATGCATGTTTTTGGTCTGTTGGAGAAAACTGGGGTACCCGGAGACAACCCACCCCTGCACTGAGAACATCCAGTTTTCATCTTGTAACCTTTGTTACTGTAAGGTAACAGCTCTAATCACTGACCACCCATGACAGTAATACAGCTGATCTAAAACAAACAAACAATAAACATCTTACCCAAAAACAACATTTACTCCAGAACTTGCTGCTCTGTTGCAGTTTTTAACCAAAGTGGGGGGAAGAATGGTTTAAAGTCAGATAAGAAGATCAGTCCAACCCAGTGGAAAAGGTCATTAGTAAAGAATGTCTTATATAACCAGAGTGGAGCCAAGAGTTGGTGGCTAGATTTAGGAGTCGGCTCCAGTTTGGCCCATCACTCCCCACAACTTCACACTTATCTTTAATTCTTTTTATACTGCAACAAAAAGTGTTAATTTGACTATCATTTAGCATCATTTAGTATTTTTAAGAATACAAAGGTACCAATTTTTATTATGTGTAGAAATCTAAATAATATTGTTTTTCTTTTGGCTGTTCCCTTCTTCAGGGGTCACCATAGCAAGCTTGCCTGAAGATTTGTTTTACCCCAGATGTTCTTTTTAACACAACCATCAATCAGTGAGCTACCACAGCCCATGTGTGGAGCCGAGAGCTGCTATCTGAGGCACCTGGGGAGGACCTGGGGGAGTTAAGGGCCCCCAGTGGGGCAAATGAGAGCGGAGACAGATATGGATGCGTCACCTTTCCCAACAAATTTTATTGTAACGGTCCGGGGATTTGAATCTACAACCTCTCAATCACAGGCTTGTCTTCACTTACCGCTACACCACCACCTGCTCAATAATAATAATAACTATAATAATAAATATAATAATAATAAATATAATAATAATATAGACTGTGTACTGATAGCCGTTCAATGTGAATTCAGAAGTCGCTTTGATCTTTCTTTCTTTTTTTTTGCACCATTTTATTTATAGAGCACTTAAAACAGCTACAAGGCCAACCAAAGTGCTGTTTGGTTGATAAACACAGAATGACAGGTCCAGGTGTACTTTCTATAAGAGGAAAGACAAAAAACATGTTAAGATAAAAATAATTACAAATACAAACAGGAAGAGAAGAACAAGTAAAGACTGCAGCAGAGAGAGGAAATGGCAGTCTGTCCTCCAGCAGCCCCTTTTCCATTAGTACCTTTAGTATCTGTACAGCACAGTTCAACTTGGCTGGATACGGTACTCGTTGTGCTTCCATAGCCCCTTTCAGTACTGGTTACAGTGGGCCGGGTAGTAGAAATTCATGCCCCTCACCAGCTGGTGGCGGTAAGATGTTGAAACAGGTTTCAGTACAGGGTGAGAATTTATTTAGCAGTTTCTGTTAAAATACAGATCTTAAAATGATCAAATTAATC